AGGAAAATTGATTTTTATAAGGCTTAATTGCAAGAAACAGATGTTTCCAACCTAAGATCTATGCAAGAAAAATTCTTTGGTACTTTTCCCATCATTTTCCCATCCATTCAGCTAATTTAAAAAATGCCCTATAGCACAGAGGGACTTCCTTCCACCTATCTTTGTGACATGGATGTTATTTTCCCAGATGCCAACTTTTCAATTTATTGTACAGAGGTACACTATTCAATGCTCCAAATGTTCTTAATGGTCTGAAAAGATATTCATTGAATCAAATTCAAGTGGCAAACATTTTTTTCATGAAATTCTGAAGAATGTTTCTTCCATAAAACACCAATTAAAAATTATACAATGTAAGTCTATGGGAAAACAAGATTCAACTTGGGGACAATCCAACATATAGGGACACTCTTGATGCACCAATTATGTCAGCATCTGGGGGTCTCACTGTAGTTGCAGGCAGTTTCGAAGTTTGTATGTAAATTGAATCCAGAACAAGATGTACAATTTCTTGATATTCTGGATTGAGGTCTCAAAAAGGGTGGTCGGAATAACGTGGTCTGGTCCAACCTGGAATAATCTTGCCCTATGCCAACTGGCCCTTCCTGGTACAAGTGTGAAACACTTGTCAATACACTTGTTCAAATAAAAAAGGAACTTAATTGAACCCCGAATGCTTTAAATCCCTCACTTTTTGAGATATTGGGAATTTATTCCACAAATCACCTAACCTGAAAACTAGCCTAGCTTATCACCTAACCTAAAGGAAACTAAAATAGGCTAAAATATTAAAAACATCTCAAATTTTGTATACTTTTGTCGGGATGACAACAATGCTTCAATTTTGGCTTGACAACAATAATCTGGTATTGGAATGATGACGTGATTCCACCATCCCCCGAAAAACTGACAATACATTCAGATTTACTCTTTCTAAAATGTAGCAATGCTACATTTTAAAAAAAAAATTATAGCCAAAACCTGTTTTTCATTGAGCTCAACAAATATTGATCAATTGTATTCCTTTCGTTCCCCCGCTCTTGAACATTCTTCCATAAAGTATGTGATTCTTGAATTACCGTGAAAGCCGTATTATGGAAAAAAAAGCCATTGTGAATTTTGAACGGGCAGTAGCTCACCGAAGTAAGTCAACGTGACCCCAATCAGAAAAAGAATCACTGGAATAATACACATGACGATTCCAATGCCTTGAACCCAGGAAGGGAAAAACCCGGGTTCCGCAGGTTTCTCGTATTGGCTTCCAGGAAAAGACACGAAGAAGTAGATGACCAAGACCAGGACGAAGATTGGAGCCAGAAGAGACCATGTGATCCTCAGATACCAATAGCCCACCTTGTTCAGCTTCCCAACCATCTCCTCTATGTTATTCATAAGGTTTGGAAACCCGTAAAATCCAACCAGAGCCGCCAGGTTACCGAGGGTGAGGAGCAAAATCGGCGCCGTGGCGGCATAGTCATTCAGCAGAACGTTCAGCCATATTCCGCCCTTCAAAAAAAGTTCGTGTTCTTGTGAAAGAAAAATCTAACGGATTTTCTCAAGATACAGGCCAGGATTTCAAGACGAAGTCCTGGACCGAGTTTCAAAGCAAAGTTTTCAATGAGATTACCGAACTTTACAGTACTGTACAATACTTCGAGAAAAGAAGGTCGACAGATATTACAGTACAGTACTCGTATTTCGATACCTCCTGAAAATTTAAAATTATTTATGCTTTGGGGAAATATCTGTCAGTTTTGAAGGTCAAAGTTCAGCGCAGTGCAGTGCATTAATGAGCGCTAAACGCACAGTTTTATATCGTCAATAAAGAAGCAGTATTTGTACCCAGTTCAGTGAGTATTCTCGATTTCAAACACAAATTTTTTAAAGAATTTTAAACCTAAAGAAAAAATGGATCGAAAACGGATTTTCTGGGATGGTAAAAAAATACTTGATACACAAAGCATTGGAATGAAATCCAGTGAGAATGCCAGCCTTGAATACATTTGTTCTCATTTCTTTTCGATACCCATTTTTCGGACGAGAAAAATTTAAAACACTAGATTCTATCCTCGGTAATTCGAAACTCCTTTCGTCAAATTTGTTTCTAGTCCCCAACTGAATTTAATTACAAACAGTGCATAAAAAGCCTACCTGAGTCAAAGGCTTATCCTCTCAAAACCTACATAATTCCTGTTTTCTGAGGCCTTTTTGGCCATTATTTTCTTGACAGAGGAACGAGAAAAGCTTTAAACCTATCCATGAGTTTTGAAAGGAAATGAAAGGCTAATTGGGCAAATTAACCCCTGTCTCCATGATCAGCATCCTAGCTGTCAACTCATTTCAGAAGCAATTCAAGGCACTGAATATCATCATTTACAGTTTTCTGCATTTCTTCCATGTTTCCTACAACAAAAATTCTCAGCTAAAAACCTCCGTGAGTCGAATAATTTTTCTGGTCACTTGAAGTCTTGACTTGAACAGGTTCGACTGCTGCACAGTAGCTCTTTGATGTTTATAAATTCCATGGTTTTTAGCTTATGGCATGGCTTTCAAGAGTGACATTTTCAAGCAAAGAGCCGCACCCGACGTACGATGCTCAAAAAAGTAAAAATAAAAAGTTGCGTCACAAAATAATGTGGAAGTGTGATAGTGCTCACAGAAATGTTCCTCTAATTAAGGCTTTTGCAAGAGCGTCCTCATTTTATTATTAGTTTTTAAATTTGATATTGATTTGTCTCTGTTCTCTGTGTCCGTGAAACACGTTGGGGTGGAAGAGAATAAATAAATAAAAACAACAAGAAATCAAGGCAAAGGGTGTGAAGCGAATCTGACTTGAAAGGACATGGTGCAGGCGCCGCAGAACCCGAGTGTGCAAACAACGGTGGTGGTGAGCATCTTGCGGCGCCTGGACCACGGGAATTGATCCAACAGCGCCGTGATCTGCGTGGACAGGTCCGCCATCTGGGTCCCAAGGCCCACCGTGATGAGCATGAAGAAGAACATGAAGGACCAGAACGGGGCAGCAGGCAGGAGCGTCAGGGTTGTGGCGAACGTCACGAACGTCAAGTTTATTCCGGAACCGGCTACCTTGTCGATGGCTTGTCCAGTCGTCTGTCAGAAACAACAACAACAACAGCAACGTCTGGCCGATGAACGTAAGGAGAATAGTGAGGCAATCCGGAAATACGAGTACTTTTTACTTCTTGGGTGGGATTGACTGCCGGACATTCGCTATTATTGTGGGAGAATGGCGACTCTTCATTATATAGCCGCAGTACTTAAGACTTTTCATAAGGCAGCAGTCGTGTCTTGTTGTGGAAGAATGACTACTCGACTCATCACTCTCGACCAATTAAGCTTCATATTTCTCACAAAATTGTTTGAATAAGTTTATGGTCCAAAAAGTGCGTTGGCATCTTGTGGAATATGATGGCGACTCTTATTAACATCCGATTGAGGCACCATTCTTGTCTTAATCAAGTTCATGGATTTTTTTCTTTTTGGAACGCCTGATGTCAGGACTCAGGAGAGAAGGAAAAGGCGAAAAAAAAACGTTGGTAGACTTTTTTGTTAGAATAAATGGGAGAAAGGCCCCCAATTATTATTTTGGGTTCAAATTTTTTGTTCTTTCATATAACTTTCGAGATCCAAAAACTTGTTTCGATATTCTTTATGTTTTGCGAAAAATGTATGTTTGACTCGAATTTTAATGCATTTCTTTAGCATGTGTAAGTATTTAATGTAACAATTTATTTTTCATTTCGATATTTTCAGGAATTACTTGCAATTAATTTTGCATCCTGGTTTTTGAGTGCGATTTCTTGTCCAGTCGCTTGTTAGAACAAATTTCTGTCCAAATGTTGGTGAAGATGAACCGAAAATGCAGTATTGTACTTGAGTCCTTTCAGCATTCATTGGTTTATCTTAGAAGAATTTCAAATCTTCGCAATTATTACTGTTTCATGAAGTTCATTGATATCAGGCTTTTTGGATAATTTCAGGCTCGTAGCACTTGTCTGGAGATGACGAAATGGGAAACCGAAATTTTTTTTACCAGCATTCGTTGGTTTTTTTTGAAAATTTGACGAATCATGCTGCCAATTCTCAGTTCGCAATTGAATATAAGTTTTTCCAATGTCATACCTTAAGAAATACTTCCTTTCAACATAATTCGTAAAGTAATACGGTAGTCAAAACATGTACGAGGGGTTACACGGTTCCGCGCGGAACAGCTTGTTGCTGCTGTTCTGGCGACGGGAGTTTCAAAATTTTAAAACGGAACATTTGAAGATATGTTTCAACATATGGATCGAAAGGGCTGAGAAGTGCTTAAAAATGACTAGTGATTTCATTGAGCCAGTTAAAACTAGTGTACATGAGACAAATGTTTTTTTTTTAACCCTGGTGTTCAGATTATTTTAAGTCCGCGCAGAAACATGTAGCCCCTCACATTCACAATATAAATTTCCTCGCGTTCGCATTCTGTTTTTGCATGGTGGTGGATTGAACCATTCTCAACTCTTTACGAGTATATCGGGTTCTTATTTAGCGTTAGTTGGGGTTAGATTTTGTTGCGGGGTATCCTGTGACAGATTTTATCGCAGTAGATTCTTTCTCATCGCGAAAACCAAGGTCAACTAATCCTCTTACTTGTGCGATGTACCCGAGCGACCCGAAGATCACGAATCCTGCGTAAATTGACGTGGCGCAGTTGGCGATTGTGACAGCGGCAGCGAGTTTAATGCAAGGAGTGTCGAACGTGTTGTAACTGGATAATGTCATCAGACCTCCGAATCCAATCCCCAAAGAAAAAAAGATTTGACTCAATGCTTGATACCTATATTGAAGAAAAAGAAAAGAGGAGACAAGCGAAATGCATCTTTCGAACAGATAATTAATGAATACGTCGCACGTGGTTGACATAGAAGGCTCAGAATATTCCTGGTTATCGTCAAGTTTTCTCCGAATCCCACAAATTGCTCTCAGGAGGTAATTTATACAATAATGCAAAAAATTCGAAAAAAATTTCGTGCGTGTGCATCTGGTGGATTGCATGAAAACAACTTGGAATTCCTGTACTGTACTGTATTGGATTATTCCCTGAACTTGACACTGTACTTGTTTTCGTACGAATTTGAAAGCGAACATTTTGAAGAAATGCTTTTCATCATTATTTTACCAACAACCTCTTTCTGTTAACGTGATACTAATAATACTAGCAATGACCAGTGAGAGTGGATTTCCATATTCCCATTCGATCTGTCTATAGTGACAATGCTTGCAGGTTTTTAGATGCTCTCATTAGAAACTGGAAAGATTCTGGAACTCTTCATTCTGCAAAATAGACAGATTTCTCTCATGACGCTAATAAATCAGGGATGCGTGGTATTATTATATTAATCATGGAAAAAGTTTAATTTATGTCGAAGAAGGTTTCCTAACTGAAATCATCCGAAATACTGCAAATTTTTTTTACTCCTGTAGGAGGATCCATGAATTTTTTTTTTTTTAAAGTTTCGAGTGCACTCCGTCGTTGAACCACGGGGAATGAAATTGAATCAGTGGAATCCTCAAGACAATGATTTACTGCGTACGGATTATGAACTGCTTAAATGTGCAGGGAAGTTGTGACTTTTAACTTTCATATTTTGAATAAGTTGATCACGATATGATTCGGTACGAAACTACCAAATCTGTTTCATCCGCGATGTGCGAATGTATATTTTTAAAATCTGAAAGATGTCAGGATTCGTCCCATATTTCATTTAGCACATGCCGTTCGCTGTATAATTATTCAAAGGTCTTCGAACTATTGGGAGTCACGTGGGTGGGTCTAGTTTTAGTGCAAGAATCCCCACGTTTAATACCCACCAAACTTCAAAATCGATGAGGGCAGATAAGTCTGGCTTCAGGTAGAATTTGACGCCTTCGGTGAAGCCCTGCAAAGTTGCTGCTTTGATCAGCAGCAGTGTGAGAACAACGTATGGGAACAAAGCCGTGAAATAAACGACTTTTCCGGATGTCGATACACCTTGTCTAAGACACAGGAGACACATAATGTATGACAGCATGAGACAGCCCATCCCCTCTGGTACAAAATGGCCATAGTCGTCCCACGACGCGATTTTTTCATTATCCAACCGAATATCTGCAACTCTGACAATAGAGAAATGTAGAAGAAACATCCTTAGTGAACTTCCTCATGAAGAAATACACTTGAAACAAAATTTAGTCTCACACACTTGTCATAAAAGTAACTGAACGCGGGATCTTGTATCGTGAGACTTGTGCCATTCCCATCTGCACAACCCAGTTCTCCTCCCATTTTCTGAGTGCAAGATTCACTGGCTAGGTGACACTGCTTATCAAAGATAACGTAATTTTGTCCATCCAGTTTCTCGGAACATTTTCCTACGCAACCAGGCCCACTGTCCGGGTAACAAACTGACCAAGGAAGGTCCATGTTGAAGGAATCGATTGTGTATCGCACCACATAACTTGAAAGAAGTTCGAATAAACAAAAATTCATCATGCATAGTTGAACCTCCAAGTCAAATTCCAAGGGTTAAAACCAACAAATTTGACTCTAGGTTTCAAGTTGGGGAAACTCCAATTTTCCCCCTTTGAAAAAAGGATCCAAAATTATTAAAGTTACTGGTATTTTTTGCTCAAAACTGCTTTGTACAGCAGTTGCCAGAATTTGACCTAACAATGCTGAGGTTTGAGCTACATCAGCGTATTGAGGATGTAAATGCACGCCCTCAGTTAACAAACTGCTCAGTTGAGAAACTTTTTGTTCAACATCAAACTTTTGATTTTGAGGAAATCGGTTAATTATCCAAAATTTGGTTAACAAAATTTTTGTTAACCAAAAATCTCAAATTTCAAAATTAAAATGTGGTCCTGTGGCTGAAATATGCATATGCACTGATATGAAAAGTCTTCCCTTCTGGTACTTTATCATGAGGAATCTTGTGTTTTGAAATATGTTCCAACTAAACTTGAAAATGCTTTTCTGTGACGGAATTATTTGCTTTTCTGTATCCTTCAGAGTGCGTGTTTCTCTGGATGTTAAGCTTTAATATCATTGTTTTCATCATAGATCCTTCCATGTAACACTGAAAAAATATCCTGGGGACATATATCCTGGGGGCAGCAAACACTTATTCTGTTTATAGTTATTGATGGTCTTCAATTTTTATACTACACATTCAATTGTATTTTGGGTAAATGGAATCAATTAAATTCTTCCCAATTGAAGTCTATGGTAAAATCAAATTTGGTTGACAAACTTTTTGGTTAACAACTTTTTTCCGGAATCAATTGAGTTTTTTTAACAAAGGGCCCAATGTATTTCAAATTCTGCTACTATTTTGGAAGGGTAGTTTATTTCCGTTGAACTTTGATAACTCAAAGCCGGAATCCCCCAAGGTTTGAGTTGAATACCTCCCTAAGCGGAAATTTTGATAAGCCCCTGTCTGAAATTGCTTTGAAACAATGCATTAAAAATCTCCCCTATGCTCAAAGGATCTCCCCTCAAACCAAATTTCCTGGAGGACTTTTGGCTGTGATTTTATTTGCACAAGAAAGATTAAAATAATAAATATGTATGGTAAATAGGGGTTTTATGAAAGGATTGAAGGGAATAACTAATAGGGCAAATGAACCTATGCCTTCAACTTATTCAGCATCCTGTCACTTCATGCCAAACTCAGAAATATTTTCCCCCATCAAGGAAAATGCTTTCCCTGACTGAATTTTTCATTAGTGGTTTCTTGAAATTTGACTTACAGAGGCTCGACTGCATTTCAAGTGGGTTTGCCCTTGCAGACACAGTCTCATAACCATACCTTAAAATGAGTGCATACTGGGCCGTGTTCACGTAGGAGATGTAGATCGACATGTAACCCAGACCCCGAAAAGCAGGACACATGGCAGTGTACAAGTGAAATGGCCCCAGTCCGGCATATTGGGCAGCCGATGACTCGAGCAGCATCAACGGCATCGCTACCGTGACCACGAAAAAGGTGTACGGCACCAGAAAGGTACCACCGCCGTAACGGTACACCAGGTACGGAAACCGCCAAATGTTGCCAAAACCGACTGCATACGAGATGGAGGACATGAGAAACTCGACCTTGGAACCCCACTTTTGACGTTGCAGGGGCTTCACTTCCAGGGTCTGCGGGGGTCCAACTATGCTTCCCCGGTCTGTTAGAACGATTTCGCTGGTTTTCTCTATGTCCGTCGGGACGGATTGTTCTTCGTTCGCCATTTGGCTTGATGCCACTAGATGGCAAGCCTGCGCTTCAGAAATCTAATTAGGCGTTACAATGCATCGCATCAGCCTCATTAATGTGGGCACCCGAGAGAGAACCGTGAAGGTTAACGGGACCTAATTACGGAATAAGTGAATCGCGCCAAAGTCCAGCACTTTGTCTCGTCGTGGTTGAGGTGGAGTCATCTATGTGAATTCGGCCCCCCAATCAAATAATGTCAACTACATAAATTAAATTTAATTAGTGGAGGTTATATTGATGCTCTCTGTTGTTCTCGTTCAATGGATTTAAACATCTTTACGGTCCCTATAAGAGTCAAAAAGAAATTCGAATTACTGAAATTAGACGAATAAGTTACGCACATCAGAGAAATTAAATTGCATGAAGTTCTCCGCTATCTATGCACAAGTTCATCCCGAAGCCAGATATTTTTGTCATTTAAGACGAGCCTGAATACTATACTGCAGACACCCAGGGGTAACATGTTTACCCTGAAGAGATGATGCTCAGGCATTCGTCTTCCTTCTTGTATAAGAGATGTGCTAAATATCACATTCATCTCCTCTCGGACACATTTTATAAATTTATTGTGCTGTTGATCTATCTTTTCCATGAATTGACATTACAGTGTCAACCTATGAAATATTCTTCATTTACTGTATTCCACTCATTGTAGTGCATTTAGAGATGGTTACATCTGAAAATATGTCTACCTTTAAGATTCCTTAGCGATGCATGAGCGGAGTTGTCCGGGGATCGCGGACTCAAGACAATTTAGACTTTTCGAGCACATTCAGTGGGAATTTAGAATTAAAAGCGGTTTTATTTGAAATCAGAAGTAGTTAAAAAATTTAGTTATCTGATTGCAAGAAGAAATAACATGCAGTTACATTTTACGCGCCAAATTTCAACATCATCCTTGAAATGGACACAGCACAAATTAATCTTTACCTTGCATTTTTTTCGGGTTTATAAAATAATCCGCATTTATTCAATTCTTCAAAGCGTGTTCACGTTTGCACAAATGAATTGTTTTAAACTATAGGTTACAGGTTTCTGATCATCAGTCTCATACTCTCATCATGGAAGAGTGGAACCGAAATCTGAGATAATCAGAATCAAAGCAGTGACATCTACACATTTTGTTTATCCGTGAAGTATTCAAATACTTAATGTTTGAATAGGTGCCACTGTCTGTGAACTAATACTGTATATTGCTTTCGAATTCGACTTTCAAAACAGAAAAATAACAGAAACTATGCATGCTTTATCCGACCCAGTGATTTGCTCAGCTAAGTTCAAGAGAATCGCACGAATTTAATCTCGAATCAATCTATGGGGACATTATTTTGACAATACAATATCTGAAAGCGAGTTTATCTTGTCGAGCTTCCGAATTCTCCTTTACTTTCATCATTTTTAAATAAATGACGAAGTAGACGAGCGGTTTCCTCATTTGGAAAATCTTCAACATCATGCATCAGGAAAAAGTGGACACCACAAGACATATCATGGTGGCATAATTGATAACTGCGCACATATATGGATGATGAGGCACTGAGTAACTTTTGCCTGCTATGATATATGAGACACACTAGGTAAGACATCAGAGAAATAAAAAGTAACCAGATACAAGAGCTCAATCCACTCTATCCGTCATCTTCTCTGCTTTGCGGGAGGTTGTTGGAAAAAAAACCACCCGAGGGGGTTAATTAGTTTAGATGGCCTTTCTATCTGACAATACGCAGCGAACCTAAGGACTGATCCGAATGCAGTTGTGAACAAAAGGTGTTCCAGCAGAAGCTTGATTTTTTCTATGAGACAATGTAGATCTATTCAGTTTCTCCAAAGAAAGAAATTTTGTCAAGTTGAATCTTACACGTTTGAACTGCACATCATCATTAACTCACAGTAAAAAAGACTCTGAACTAGAATCACAAAAGTAAATGCAAAAAGTACTGTATTATGTATTGAATGTCAAAAAGGTTCAATACCCACGGAATAATGAAAAAATATAATTTTGCTTCCCAGAGTTTCTTAAATATATATATTTTTTAGTCAGTATTATGCTCCAGCAATCTGGTAATTTACCAAACTATCAAAATTCATGATTTTATATTTTATACTTCCATTTCACCGCAAAAATGCTCTCTCATATGCATTACATAAAAATGCATGAATAACACTTATGCAGACGTTGCCATTTAAAAAAATGGAAAATCCCAGCACAATTAATGTGAAAAAATTAAAGGACAAGGTGTTCAGCCAATTCTCAGATATTTTAATTTATTGAACAATTTAGAGAGACTCTTCGAGGATGAATCATATAAAGCTTACAATTTAACCCGGTACTTCAAGATTTAATGAAGGGTCTTTAGTGATAAAAACATCATAATCATACCTTTTGAAATTTCTATGGAAATTGTATCTCTGGTGGAGAAAATTTATGCAATGCGTGCTTCTGGACATGAATGACAGTCAAATCACGCTGCTAGTTCGCTCTTCTGTCTCTATGACACAATACAAGGATCCTTGGAAAATACCGGGAAATTCTGGGAAAACCTCCTAAATTTATTCTGGTTCCGTTGCAGTTGTGTGAGTAGAATGCATATCTGTTGTACGTCTTGCATACAGCAAACCGATACGCTCCGAGTATTTAGCCTTTTCTGTGTCATCGCCAAAAGGCAACAATCTCAAATTTCCTTTGGGAATATCATTCGACGCAAGTAGAGCGTGTGTATGGAGAGAAAAAACAGGCTTTCTCGTTTCTTATTTCATCGCTACACGGCTCTTCTTTTGTTCCATTTCCCATGAGGCACGAATGTCATGAAGCACATGTTATCGACCTTGAGCAAATAATCCAACATCCCCATTATTGCACGGCAGAAATAGTTTTCCTATCCCCGTTTAATATGGCCGTATATATTTGAATATGAAGTCCTCCGCTTCAACTCATCTATAAGCAGTTCACATGATATCGCTACAGAATTCCTGATCGCCTCATGTTCCGTTTTCGGAAAGATTTTTGTGCGTGGATACTAATTTTGAAGTACATGATGAACTATAGAGTTTTCTTACAATGCTTGATCACCTGGTTTTGTGCAGAGGTTGTCCTAATTATTCACTTTTTTAAATTATGTGAAAGCTGCCAGAATTTTCCTTCCGTTGGGAGTGATAAAAATGCCAGGTTGAATGAAACTTTTTCTACATATTTCGTACATAATGTTGAAGATGTCAAAACAGCCGAGGAAGAATTCTGGCAAAGGAGGAATGCAATTTTTCCCAGTTCTGCGTTTTAACCGTAAACTCAAAACAGTCTCCAAACATTTTTCGAAAAGGTTCTTCTGCCTTCACCAATTGATGAATCTAGAAATAAAAAATGAATAAAATTAAAATGTTAAAAATACGGTCAGTTTTTATCGTAAAGGGAGCATATATAGGAAAAGAAAAGGCGAAAACGCTTTCCATATAACGTACATATATTTTTGTATTAATAACAACTAATTTAAAATATCGTACTCAAAAACCAAGAGGGCCGTCACGTAAACACGAATCTCACTTTATAACTGCAATTCGTTCAAGTTTTGAATTTAATCTTTATACGATCAATGACGTACATGCATGTTCTGCTTTCTATGCGTCTGATGAGAAACTAAAAAATGCTCTGAACTCAAATTCAGCGAGGATCCAAAGAAAGACGCCGACTTTGGAATGTCAGAAGACCATGAATTCACTATACGTCAATGCTGGACCCACTGGTGAGTACTTGATCACTTTCGGGATGCTTTGTATACAATTGGAAGAAAAAAGCTACAGAAAACTCTCAAGTTCTTGAAGGCTCAAAGAAGCTCCGCAAAAAGAAAATGGCACGGAAATCTTGATCTCAGGCCTTTCCAATATCGATGCTGACCTCTTCAGCAGAACCTTTCAGTCCTAAGTAGATTAATTCTTCGTGGACGAAGAAAAGATTGCGGGTGAAAAATGATTGGCATCAGGAGCAGACCCTCAAGCTGCTGGCCTCGATAGAAGAACTCTGCTTATATATATTTATTTTTCCTCTTCCTCTCTTATGTAATTCCTCGAGATCTATCTCTAATGTACAGCGGCCAGAAACCTTTCCTGTAAAATTCAAAAGGTCCAGCGAATAAAATGTCTGTTAATTCCAAACTTTTTAACATTCTATAGTAGCATACATTTAGCAGAACATGATTCTTAGTCAAAGGTTGTTGGTCACACTTAAAATATTGAGGAAACCTGAAGTCAAATGAGCATCTTTCACAATTCTCCGCGAATTTTAGCCACCTTTTCTTCCTCTTAGCGGAAAGGCTAAAAATAAATTATTGCACTGAAGAACGTGAATTTATTTTTTAGAAAAAATAAGTATTCAATGAACGATCCCTTGCCGTGATTGAATGCAATTTTTATAACTTTAAGCCCATTATAAAATTAAGCTACTGTATAACAAAATCCGAGTCTTTCCTCCAAACATTTTCAAAATTTTCAATGATGGCCAGCTTGCCCTTCGTTTTTCAGTCTTCTTCTTCTTACTACTGCATGATAATTTGAGATTTTTGTTGAATTCTTTTACCCATGGGATTGAGCTACTTTAGACTTCGGAAATACAATATATATGCGCGAAAAAGCTTACCAAATCCAAAATACACCTTCGAAGTTGCAATTGATCACCATCAAACTTGAGTGGTAAACATTTTGAAGCTATCAGCATTTTTTCCTTGAAGAAAGCGTCTGAATATATTTGCAATGTTCAACAATTTCTCTGATATTATTTTATAATTTCCGTAGAATCGTTCTGTTATTTAATGGAGGACATTCACAAAAAAAGAATTGCACATTTTGTAAATGGCTATTTTTTAAAAACAAAATATCTTCATGCATTTTTATGGTGAAGCTCAGTTGTTCCACGTTAAATAAATTTCGCACATTTCTCGGACATCTAACTTTCAGTTTTTTCTGCGCGGAGTTTGGACCCTTCATTTTTAATAACGTTCAATGCAAACTTTCTTGTCTAATGAGGCAATAATTTTGTCACTCTCTTCATCTGAAAATACCACCTATTCGTGGTACGTTTCTGAAAATAATACTAAAAGACCCGTATTTGGGGGATGAAAACCGTAATACGGTCTTCGAGAACCATTTCGACATTTCCTCTTGTGTTTTTTTTTCTTTCTCAAATATATGTATATAGGACCAGATAGCAGAAGAGCGAACG